AGTCATAATTTAATGAGAATAAAGTCATAATTTTATGAGAATAAAGTCATAATTTTATGAGATTAAAGTCATAATATTACGAGAAAAAAGTCAGAATCATGCATACTTTTTCGTGTAAAGGCTACAATATTATGACTTTAGTCTTGTTATATTATGACTTTAATCTCATAACATTATGACTTTATTTTTATACGACTTTAATGTCATAATATTATGACTTTATTCTCGTAATTTGAAAAAATAAATAAAAATCTTGTTGTGTGGCCCTAATACTCCGTCGTAGCTTAAGGACCTGTCACACTAACATTTTAGGCAACTTATGCCAACTGAAAATTTGAGAAATGTTTTTGTTTGTTGTTGAAACCATTTTTCAATATATATAAAACCTTCTTTTGTACTTCTGTTATGTTCATTTGCACTACAGCAAAAATGCTGGGTTTGATTATGATTAGTTTTCTGCAAAATAGATGCTCTAAATATTACATTATCTTTGCTTTTTATGATAATTTTCTACCGCGATATATACCKTTACCATAAAGGGATTCAATTTATACCATGATATGAATTTGAGGTCATACCGCCCAGCCCTAATAATGCCTAATAATCGTCATAAAGTATTACAAGTACAACTGACTTAATGTTAAGTAAGCAATACAGAACTTCTAAAAACTGTAAAAGTGAAGATTTTCTCTCTGTAAATGCGAGGAGCAGTCATGTTGAAATGATATCTCCTGCCAGAACACCAACTACAGGTTGATTTCAGCTAAAGAGCTCCTGTCCATCTGTATCAGGTCAGTGGACATGATTCAGGAAACCGTTCCGTCGGAAAATGTGCCGCTAACCGGTCAGTTCCACGTCGAGCAGCAAAAGTTCAGATTTTTAATTCTAGCGTCGGCAGCTTTGGACGCCATAGACTTTGCATGTAAACCTGCCACTCAAAACATGTTCGTTCTGAACCTAACATGACTCCTGCAGTTTTCATCTCATTTGATTAAACACTGCAGAACAGGTACAACGATGCAACAAATCATTGCCTTAAAAAATTCATAAAAAGTCATTAAGTTTGAAACAAGATTCCACTGATATTTAAACCAGAGAAATCAGGTTTGTCAAACAGCATCTTGAGTTGATAAAAAATAAAATAAAACCTTCAGTCTGATGCTAAGATTGCAGCTGATTTAATTGTTTAAAGCAGTGTTATAATTTGTGTTTTCTCCACCTACAGGTAGCGATGATGGTTCGGTCAGATTGTGGGAGGTGTGTACATCTCGCTGTTTGAAAACAATCCAGGTGGGCGGAGCTGTGAAGAGCGTGGCGTGGAACCCAAACTCCTCTGTTTGTCTGCTGGCTGTTGCTGTGTAATTATCTGCTTCTTCCTTATATTCTCTCTATACCTTATTAAAAAATAAAAAAAATCATCTAAGTTAACAAAACATGGTCAGATCTGTCTGAACGTTTCTCTGACTTCCTGTCTCTCTTTGGTTTCCAGGAACTCAGAGGTCTTGATTTTGTCCCCTGCTCTGGCAGGTAAACAGGTCGTCTCGTCGTCGGAGCAACTTCTCGCCGCTCAGCAGGAGGAGGAACCTTCTGAGGAGTCCGACACCGTCATCTGGTCTAACACGGAGGGGGAGGAGCTAAATCAGGGCATTCGTCTCAAAATCCAACATCCTAAAGTGAGATAATCCACCCAAGAGCTTGATTTAAAAACTTTCTGRTTCAAACCTGAACAGAACTGACCGGTTGGCGTCTGTCTCCTCAGGCTGTCCACCAGGTGACGTGGCACGCTAAAGGAGACTACCTGGCATCAGTGATGCCCGACAACACCAGCCACCTGCAGGTGTTCATCCACCAGGTGAGCCGGAGGCGAAGCCAGAATCCTTTCAGGAAGAACAAAGGTCTGGTCCAAAGTGTGTCCTTCCACCCTATCCGGCCCTACTTTTTCGTGGCCACCCAGCGTTCCGTCAGGATCTACAATCTGGTCAAACAGGAAATGACCAAAAAACTACAAGCCAACTCGAAGTGGATCTCCAGCATGGCCATCCACTCTGGAGGTGAGTTCCATAAAAAGATATCTCTGCAGCATCAGTTCCTGCTCAGTGGGAGTGTTTAGAACCAAATCACTGCTGAGTGGATGAGCCTGCGTCTCACCTGTCTGCAGGTGATCATGTGATCTGTGGGAGCTACGACTGCAGGCTGAGCTGGTTCGACCTCGACCTCTCAACAAAACCCTACAAGCTGCTGCGGTACGTTCAGTCACTCACGCTCAGATTGTTCTTTTTTCATGAAACTCATTTGTCACTTTGCGTTTTAGCTGCTTTTTATTTCTTTTGGTTTCCTTGTTCATAATATTGACATTGATCACTTTATAATATCATCAGGCACCATAAGAAGGCGGTGAGGAGTGTGGCCTATCACAGAGGTTACCCGCTGTTCGCCTCGGCGTCGGATGATGGATCAGTCATCGTCTGTCAYGGGACTGTTTACAAGTAATACCACCATTTTACGAAATAATCTTATTATTACAAGGCTCCTCTTGGGAAAATAAAGRCTAAAACTCTTCTCTTCCTCTCCAGCGACTTGCTGCAGAACCCGTTGATAGTTCCTGTGAAAGTTCTCAGAGGTCATGTAGTCACTCATGACCTCGGCGTTTTGGACGTGACCTTTCACCCCACGCAGCCTTGGGTTTTCTCATCCGGGGCGGACGCCACCATCCGACTCTTCACCTAACGAGCTGCTCTTTGTTTCGTTATCTGCTGGTGAACCGGCTGAAGGTGTCAAACCTCCCTGGTGTAACCCCTGGTTGTTCTTTCCCACAGCACAGAGGAAGTCATTTCCTGTGTTTTATTTTACTGTTTATATTCAATAAAATGTCTGACTTTCTTAGGATTCATTGCTCGTTTATTTTTTTAAACTGCAATAAACAAACACTTATTACCCCTGAAGTGTGGTTTGATAAATTTATTTTATTTTATTTTATTTTATTGTGAAGAATTGACCAAAATGAGCTGCAAAAGTAGCAGGAACAAATTATTTCTGTAGTCAATAAAATGTCTGACTTTCTTAGGATTCATTG